GCATGTGGGCGGCACTGAGGCCTTCGGTGAAGCTCCCTGTGGGGCCACGACACGTGGGAGAGGTGTGCCGACATGGGCGGGGGCGGGGAGGACGCATGCGGACGTGGCCACTGGGGCATTGGGTGGAGCTCCCTGTGGGGCCACGAAACGCTGTCTTGGGTGGGGGAGACGCATGCGCCCCCCCCCCCCCACTGGGGCCTTCGGTGGAGCTCCCAATGGGGCCACGAAGCGCTGTCCTGGGTGGGGGGGACGCATGCGACCCCCCCCCACTGGGGCCTTCGGTGGAGCTCCCTATGGGGCCACGAAACGATGTTCCGGGCGGGGGAGACGCATGCGACCCCCCTCCAACTTGGGCCGTCGGTGGGTGGGGCTCCCTATGGGGCCACGAAGCGCTGCCCTGGGTGGGGGAGACGCATGCGCTCCCCCACCAATGGGACCTTCGGTGGAGCTCCCACAGGGCTACGAAACGCTGTCCTGGGTGGGGGGAACGCATGCGACCCCCCCCCACACACCCACCACTGGAGCCATCGGTGGAGCTGCCTGTGGGGCCACGAAGCGCTGTCCTGGGTGGGGAGACGCATGCGCCCCCCCTCTCCCACTGGGGCCTTCGGTGGAGCTCCCTGTGGGGCCACGAAGCGCTGTCCTGGGTGGGGGAGACGCATGCGACACCCCCACACTGGGGCCTTCGGTGGAGCTCCCTGTGGGGCCACGAAACGCTGTCCTGGGTGGGGAGACGCATGCGCCCCCCCCACTGGGGCCTTCGGTGGAGCTCCCTATGGGGCCACGAAGCGCTGTCCTGGGCGGGGGGGACGCATGCGACCCCCCCCCCACTGGGGCCTTCGGTGGAGCTCCCTGTGGGGCCACGAAGCTGTGTGATGCTGATGCTGATGATGATGATGATGATGATGATGATGATGATGATGATGATGATGATGATGAGGATGACGATGACGATAACGACGACGACGACGACGACGACGATGATGATGATGATGATGATGGGAATGATGACGATGATGATAATGATGATGATGACGATGATGATGGAAGGAGGGGAAGAAGGATGAGGGGGAGGGAGGAGGGAGGAGGGGAGGAGGAAGGAGGAGGAACGCGGGGCGCCGTCTCTTCAAGACGAGGACCCAAAACCACAGGATGGTTGGAAAATATCAAAATCATCATCATAATCACCGCCATCCTGGCTGGCATCATCGGTTCACTGCTGCTGGTGATGCGGCGACGTCAAAACCGCTAGTCGTCCTTATCAGATCCGTCGACCACCCGAGTCAGTCCCTCGTTCTCTTTCCCATCATGCTCACCACCACCATCTATTTAGAACACACTACGCGAAATTATGTCGTCACAGCCGACGTCTCACCCTGTACCACCCTCATCACCACTATGGTCATTTACTTCGCCAGAATCGCCGGCGAGATGTTCCCGGAGAGTCCTTGGGGAACATCTTGTCTTCGTCGGGTCCTCTTGCTACTTCCTCCGTCTTCCTCATCTTCATGAAAACTTGGTATCACCCTCACGGTTTGACTCACAATCGTCATGGTTAAACAATTGTCAAGCATCATCATGGTCCACACCGCCATCATGGCTGGCATCACTGATTCATTGCTGTGAATGATGCTGCGACATCAAAACCGCGGGTCGTCATTACCACACTCATCGTCCGCACCCGTAGGATCATCTCCATTCAATGTCCCATCATCGTCATCACCAACTTCGGTCGTCACAACCGGCTTCTCACCCATCATCAAACCACTCTCATCACCACCATGGCCATAGTCATCAATTTCGCTCTCATCATCGTCGTCGGCGAGATGTTCCCGCAGAGGCCTCCGGGAAGATCTTGCCACCTCAGGATCCTCTTGATCAGTTTTAAATGCTCCTGGGATGTCCTGGGGCTCTCTTGGGCCGTCGCCTGGGCCTTACGTGGGGCTATTGGGTAGTTATGAGGCGCTCAGGTTGTTGCGCAGTCTGAAGGCGCACCGAGTAAGCATGGACAGATCTATCATGCACAAGCGCATGCCATAATCGAATTTAGTATCTCGGTCATTATCGCTACAAGCGACTTCCTCACCCTCACCTTTCTCCATCATGAGCAACGTCGTCGTGCCAAGACTCATGGTCTTAATCATCATCATCAGCAGCAGCAGCAGCATCACCACCACCACCATCATCATCAGCAGCATCGTCATCATCATGATCAACATCACCATCATACTTACCTTCACTGGTAACATCGTTGGTCGGGCGTTGATGGTTACTATGCACGTTAAACTCGCGCATCGTAGTCTTCGTCAACATCAACAACAACATTGTCCGCATTTGAATCGTCATCATCAGTCTCAACTCGTCATCATCATCCAATCCATACCATCATCACGAAGGGACGCGCCAGGCTTAGCGTGTATGTCGTCGCAGCTCTCGGCTCATCCATCATCCTCATCATCGCGCGCGCAAGTTCAAGCGAGGGTCGGGTGTTTGCTGCAGGAGCTGTGTCGGCTCGAATGTGCAAGATCGCGAGCCATAGTCGCTTCTATCATGACCTCTCAGTATCATTACCGTCGTCCACCCCGTCCTCGACATTTTCGCTATTGTTTGCATCATCCAAATGGTAATGCTCATACTCGTCATGGCCATCATGCTTGACAGAAATCAGCATTATCACCGCCATCCTGACTGGCATCATCGGTTCACTGCTGTGAGAGATGAGACGTCCAAGCCCAAACCCGCGCGTCGTCATTATCATAGCTGTCGTCTGCACCCAGGTAATTATCTCAATTTCTTACCCATCATTCTCACCACCACCATCACGTTGCAAAATACAACGCGAACTGTTTAGTTCGCCGCAACCGTCGTCTCAACCACCACCACCCTCATGACCACCATGGTCATCAACTTCGCCATCATCGCAGTTATCAGCGAGATGTTCACCGAGAGCCCTCAGGGAACCTCTTGCCTTCGTGGGTCCTCTCGGTACTCCGCCGTCCTCATCCTCAATGGAATTCGACATCATACTGATGGTAGTACTTGTATTCGTCATGGCCATCAAAATTGCCAAACATCATCATCAACGTTGCCATCATGGCTTTTATCACCTGCCCGCAGGTGTGAGTGATGCGACGGCGTCGAAGCCACGCGTCGCCATGATCACAATCATCATCTGGACCCGAATGATTATCTCCACTTAATCTCCCATCATCTCCATCACCGCCATCATCATGGAAATCACCACGATAACCGTTTAGGTCGTCACAACCGTCGTCCCACCCATCACCACCCTCATCACAACCATGGTTACCAACTTCGCTCTCATCGTCGTGGTCGGCGAGATGTTCCCTGAGAGGCCTCCGGGGACATCTCGCCTTCGTGGGGTCCTCTTGGTCAATATTGGGTGCTCCTGGGGTGTCTTGGGGCTCTCCTGGGCCGTCGTGTGGGCCATCCGAAGGAGGAGGACGGGGAGGAGAAGGAGGAGAAGCAGGCGGAGAGGGAGGAGAAGGAGAAGAAGGAGGATGAGAGGGAGAGGGGGAGGTGGAGGAGGAGGTGGAGGCGGGGGTGGAAGAAGAAGAGGGATGGATGGGGGAGTCGATGTTCGAGTGGCTTCACAGCGGTCTCTTGGGAGCGCCTGAAAAGCATCATGTTTAAAGTTTGGGGGTCCCCCCGGGAGGCCTCTTGGCAGTTTTTTTGGCGAGGCGGGAGAGGAGGAAGGCTGGGGGACAAGATGTTCCTGGAAGCCCGGGGACATCTGGATGACGAATATGAAATGATGGAAAGCAAAATTCGGATATCCCACCCGAGAATTTCGTGAAGAGCATGTGGCTGTCTGGCGGTCTCTGGGGAGCCTCGCAAGGGCATGTTGGAGCCTCGCAAGGGCATGTCTGGGGTCTCTGGGGCCTCTTGGAGCCTCTTGGGGGGCCTCTTTGGAGCGTCTCCGCAACTCCCTGGGCCCTCTGGGTGCTTCTTGGGGTCTCCTGGAGCCTGCCGGAGGCGTCTGCCGAGCGTCGTGGAACTTCTCTGGGGCGGGCCTCTTGGGGGCCTCTTGGGAGCCTCTCTGGACTATCCCGGGGCCTCAGAAGCCTCTCGGAAGGGGAAAAACGGAATTTTCCGAAGTTGATGGCTTTCCGAAGGTTCGTGGTGGGATTCTCGCCCCCTGGCAGCATCTTGGAAGCCTCTTGGGAGCCGCTGTCTTGAGCTGTCTTGAGCCTCTTCGGACGGTCTTGAGCTGTCTTGAGCCGCCTGGGCGCAACATGGTGCCGTCTTGGCAACCTCGAAGGCCGCCTGGAGGCCCCCTTCACCCAGCTTGGCGCTTTTTGGGGGCGCTCCAGGGATCCTGGTCCCCAAAATAGGAGATAGGAGGTTTTAGGTCCCGGGGCTTGGCCCCCGGAACGTCTACCACGCATTACATATATATATATATATATAGGGAGAAACAGAGAGAGAGAGAGAGAGAGCGAGAGAGAGGGAGAGATCCTCATGCATACACACATACATACATATGAGTGTAGATCTGTGTAGATCGGCATAGAGAGATGCATGTCCTGGACATTTCTCCTGCCCTCGGGCGGGCAGCGGCCAGACTCGTGCCTACATGGCTGAGCCGAACTGACTTAGAGGACGACCCAGGGGCTGGACAACGTCACGTAAGAGCCTGCGTCGCACGGTTCATGCTGGAGGTGGCAATCGATAGAAGGGCAGGCGAGGATCGAGGACTGCGACGGATCGAGAGACATCGCTCTGCAAAAAAGAAGCCTTCGCTGATCACAGCGACAAGGCACAGACCAAGCGCCACCCATTGAAAACCGGGTGCGCAAGGCGGCACGGCGCCAGGCACGCGGCGCCGTGCTGTGGCACAGACGGCGGCAGGGAGCGCGCGCGACGCCTCCGCGGGAGCTGGCCTTGGCGCCCCCAACGCCCCGCTCCGAGGATGCCCATCTGTCACGGCGACCCCGGAGAGGGGGGCGGCCCTCGGGTGCGCGGCGCCGTCGCCCGCCTCACACGAACAGCTGCGGAGGACGCCGCCGGGGCCCGCGCGCCTCGGACTCGGCGGGTGCCGCCAGGTCCTGGGCGAGCGACAGTTGGATCCATGCCCCTGCTCACGCTGCGGCCCCACGAGGAGCCAGGAGCGGGGAGACGAACACACTCCTGGCCTCCGAGGCCACGTCCTCTTCTCCACGCCCTGCTTCTCTTGGCGCCCGGAGCGGGAAGCAGAGGAGGGGGTGATGGATCGAGCGTCGATACGCGGGGACAGCAGTGGACCAGAACCAGATCGTCAGAACACAGAAACCAGCTTAGCACTGGATGCGGTTGATGTGACCTCCCAGCACGGCAGAATCGACCACCACCACAACCACAACCAAAGTGCTCATACCGAGGTCGGCGGTTTCTCCCCCGAGGGACGACGACGACGACGACGATCGCCCAGGTCCAGCAAGCTGCGCGCCCACTCGATGATGGCCGGGGCTGCTGGCAGCGTGCTCGAGGACGACCCGGCCTCCAGCCCGGCAGGCAAGTGCTGCAGGGGCACCAGGCGCCTGCCGCACTTGACCGTGGCGTTGCCCGCCTGCGTGCGTAATCAAGGACCCCAGAGAGGCACAACTAAATCGGCACGGATTCCAGGATTCCCAGTCATCTTAAATCTTTCCTGGATTTTCCTCTCCCCCTCTGTTTCTTCTATTCCTCCATTTTCTACACACAAGCAGCGTTTGTGTGTTTGTGTCTATTGTGCCCTCCTGAGTGTAGTAGCGGTTGCCGGCGAAGCGGAGGAGCGCCGCGTCGCACTGGTCCAGCTGGCCGATCACGCTGCCCTTGGCAGGATCAGGCAGCATCGAACCGGTTGTTGTCGGATCGAATCGGGATCTTCGGTTCGGGCTGCATCGGCACGGAGTCGAAATCGAATCGGACTGACTGCGCCAGGATGCACAGCAGCGCGATGCAAGCACAGGGCCGACTCGGATCGCCGGAGGGGGCGGTTAACATTGGCATCGAATCACATCGATCAGATCGAAATGATGGACACTGCCTTGAGGCCGGGGGCGGGCAGGACGACGCAGGTGTTGTTCACGAAGGAGTCCCCGTGCCCGGGCAGGAAGCTGCCAAGGTGGAAGCAGTTGCCGCCGTCGTAGCCCCCGAGCTGCGTCACGACCAGGTTCCGGTAGAAGGCGCTGTCGTGCCCGCCGTAGTCCATCTTGAAACCGTCGGCCGAATAGAAAACGTTATCGTGTATGCGCCACCAGGAGGAACCGTCGTCGTTATCGACTCCCTGGCTGGCGCCGTAGTTTGCTATGATGAAATTCCCGCGCACGTGGCTTGGCACAGAGTCGAACGTCCCTGTGAGGGGGTTGAGGTATGGCAGCCTGTCCCACGTGTTGATCGGGCCATGGTCTCCGGACTCCCTGCAAGTGTTCCATATGAGGTTGGACTCCACCAGGTTTCCCCCGCCGAGGTGGTCGTTGAAGTTGATCGCAGCCCTGGGCATGTTGAACATCACGTTCCTCTTCACAACAGTCTTTGCTGCCTTTGCTTGCCCAAGCGCGCTGCTCTGAATCTGGTACAAGCCTAACTCTCTCATGACGTTGCCCTCGATGCGTGTGCCTATGGGGAACAATCCTTCACGGGCATCCCACTCGTTCGTGTCGCCCCATGTGGCAATGGCATTCTCCCCAAGCCACGCGAAGCTGCTGTTGAGCACCGACGCGCCCCGCACAAAGCCAGCAATGAAAACTGCGTTGGTATCCAAGCGGTGGAACTTGCATCGCTCGATGCTGACATCAACCGCTCCTTCTACCATCACGGCACCGCCTCGGTACAAGGCCCAATCGCCTCCAGACGGTACGCCCCACTGCTCCATGTAGGTTTTCGCGGAGTCTCTGAAACCTACACCACGAATGCTCACATTTGCCACGGGGCTGGCAGATGTCCCCTTGACGTGGACAAGAGTCTTCAGGCGCGGAACGACCAAATCAAGGTCCGCCTCATCGGTGCCGTTTGGCCAGAAGTAGAGCATCTTCGTGGCATTGTCGAAATAAAACTCACCGGGCGAGTCTAATTCCTCGCGCACCCCCTCGACATACCAATCTCCCCCAATTATGCGGCTGTCACCCGTCAGGTTGCACCACGGGCCTGCATATGTACACTGATCACAGCGGCACCAATTGCGTCCGCCTTGCCAGCCGCCCCTGCCAAAGGTCAGTCTACCCTTGCTCTCATCATGGGAGGAAACCTCGAACATGTGCATCGCCCACGTTTGGCTATGCTTGGCGTGCACTACGGCGCCAGCGGCCTCCCCCCAAAGCGCAACATTAGGTAGCGCCGTCTTGTTGTACGTCATGCCGTTCGGGATGTTGAGCCTCCCGCTTCGAGCCGCCTCGGCGTCGACCTCTGCCCAGCCGCCTGCGGAGGCGTTGCTACACCAGTAAGACGAAGCAGTTCCCCAGACGGACTCACAGACACCGCCGCGGCCTGTTACATAGGTGTTGTACTCACGCATCGCAGAGTTGTTCTTGAAGTGCCCACTCGGGTTGGCGGCCTGCAGGTCTACGCTCGTGAAGGTGGGGGCCTTCCCCGCGGGGGGGCGCCACCACTCCGTTGCCACTGGCTGGCGGGCCTGGAAGCCATCGAGGCTGTTCCTCTCCCGTTCCACGTCGGCATTCGGGAACCTCGCACGCGTCAGGCGACGGTGGGGCGAGTAGGTGAAGAGTCCAGTGATATCCCGAATGCCGTGCTCGCGGACGAAATCGGACAGGTTTGCCACCAGCGTGTGCCCCGAGGAGGGCCGCCAGGACACCCCCCGCAGCCGCACGCCCCCGCTGAGCCACGCGCTCTCGTTCGGCAGCGAGGCCAGGTCCAAGCCGCCCAGGCCTGGCCCCACCTCGAGCGTCTCCCGCAAGAAGTGGGTCCCCTCCCGGAGGATCACCTGAGCGACGAGCCGAAACGAGCCTTGCGCGAGACGACACATGGCGGCGGCATGCCGAGTGGAGAAGAGGGTGCTCACGCGCGACCTCTGGCGACCCCGCTTCTCCGCGGCCCCGATGCGCAGCACGCGACATGTGGCGTATAGATACGGAGCTCCACTCGTAGGCCGAAGACGTACGCCTGACGCGATACGTTCGCCAGAACGTGGGCCACTCCACTACGCTGAGCCAACACGCAGCGCACTGACTCGGACGCTCTCTGAGCACGCTGCGCGTCGCGCCTCGAACGACGGGCGCACCGAGGCAGCCGAGCCCCGCTCCCCTGCCGCCGCTCGCCTGCCGCCGCGCCCCGCTGCGCTCCTCGGCCAGCAGCGCCAGCGCGGCCTCCACCGTCGCCAGCGGCCTCCCCGCGGAGCCGTCCCCGGCGTCGCTCCCGCCGGCCGCGACGAAGACCGCGCCGCCCGGCAGCTCGACGGCTGGCGGCGCCCGCTCCGGGGGCGGCGGGGGCGGCGGGCGGCCGCAGCGCGGTCCGAGCTCCAGCGCGTCGTACGCGTCCCGGTGGTCGCGGCCTCCGAGATCGTCCCAAGTCAGCCCAAGAGTTATGTGGCGCCCATCGCACTTTAGGACCACATCCCAGACATAGTTTCGAGCACCCGGAAGAGTGTCGAAAGAGTGTCGAAACAGTGTCGGGCGAGTGTCTCCCAGGGCCCGACACGTGAAAATCCTAGAGCTTCGGCACTTGTTGCTGATGCTCGAAATTCTTTCTGGTGATCAAAGCTAAAGTAGGTTGGAACATCATAACCCAAGAGGCTCCGAGGACGGCCCCAAGACGGCCTCCCCAGAGGGCTCCAGAGGCTCCCATCAGGGCCCCCAGAGGGGCAGCCCGAACTTTTCGGCGTCGGCGGCAGGGCAGCGTCACGGCGCTGGCGATGAGCTGCCGACAAACGGGGGTGCCGTGGTAGCGAGTCGTGCCACCACGCAGGAGGAGAGGGAGGGGGGGGCAACACGAACAGACGCATCCACGAGCAGGAGGAGCAGGAGGAGGGGAGGGGCCGCCCGAGCAGGAGGAGCAGGAGGGGCCACCCGAACAAAACGTGGCCCCCGCGAGGCCCTGCCTGGCTGCTCGCGGCCCAGCCACTCGAGCGCCAGGGAGCGCATGCCGCACTCCAGCGCGTCGCCGCCGCCCGCCGGGGCCGCCGCGGCGCCCGCGGCCGGCGCCAGGAGCGAGAGGGCCAGCCAGGGGCGCGGGGGCCGCATATCGGCCGCGCGCACAGAGCCCGAGGCCGGGGCCCCGGCTCGAGGCGTCCACTCGCCATCGCTCGGACGTCCATGTCCCGTGCGTTTTTCGGTCTCGTGCGTGCTTTTTGTTGCTCGATGGTCCAGGGTCGTCCGCAATGCTTCGCCGAGAAAGAATGCACACGTCCGAGCGATGCCAGGTCCAGTGGTCCGAGCCCCAAAAAAACGGCTGCGGAGCTGGATGAGCAGCCGAAGGGGTGGGGGGGGGACGGGGGCAGCAGCGCGAGCGGCGGGAGTCGGCGGCGAGCGAGGGGGGGGGGAAAGTGAGGAGGAGAAGGCCCTCTCAGAAGGCTCGGAAGCCCCGCGGCCTTCAAAGAAGATTTCGCATACAAACCTCTCAGACGGCGCGAGGGCTTCTGAGAAGTCCCGCCGCCTTCTGAGAAGACCTTCTCCCCTGAGATCCGACGTAGCGAACAAGTCGCAACATCGTAACACATCACGCCCGGAGCCCTAGACCCCGTTTCTCGTCATTCTTCGAGCCAGATCGATCTGCGAGGGCCCCCGGGCCCGACAAGAAAGGAATCAAGCACGGCTCCAACAAAATTGCATCGCCAGGATCTCAGGGTCCTTCTCGCTTCCCCCCCCTCGCTCGCCCGCTCTCGCCGCCGAGGGAGGGAACGGGAGCAGGGAGCGGGAGGACGGGGAGGAAGGCGGAGCGCAACGGCGGGCTGCGAGGCTGCCGCGGCGGCGGCTCGCGCAGCCCACCAGCGGTGCCCGGGGAGCCCCCGCAGGGCCCGCCTGGAGGCCCGCGGGGCGCCCCGAAAGCGTCCCGGACCATCCCGCCACGTCCTCGAGGAAGAAATGATCGTGTTGGGAGGAAGGGGGTCGGGAAGATTCACGCCTTCAACACAGGGTGCGAATGCGTGAGCAAAAACACCTTCAACACACTCGACACCTTGGTCATTTCTCCCAACCCGATCCTCTCAACAAGGTAAATGTCTTTCTGAGTCCTGCTCCCCATTCATGCACTAGTTTTCATGCAACGAGGGCGTGGCAGTTGAAGCCCGCACTGGGAGCAGGAAGGGCAAGCGACAGGAACAAGATCAGAGCGAGCGCGCTGTACGGCAGAGTCGCTCAGCCGCTCAGCGGACTCCAGAGCGCTGCAGACAGCCCGAGCCACCAAACCTGCCCTCCGAGTCCGGCCGTGGCACGAGGTAACCGTGGAGGGGAGGGGAGGGGGGGGGCCCATTCACAGGCACAGCCGTGGCGATGCGAGGGCCCCGAGGCACGCCGCAGAGCCCGCCCGCTCCCCGGGGCGCGTTGATTCGCGTCGGTTAGTGCCGGTTTGCCAGGGGGCTTCAGATAGCGTCGGCTACGGTCGGAACTAGGACAGAAGGACACCCCCCAAGAGCATGAGACCCTCCTTCGGCCCAAACTGAAGAGCATTCGAGGGTGCCCTCCCCAAGGATGCACAAGAGCATCCAGCAGACACGAAGAACACTAGGGTGCTATCCCAGAACCGACCTGAATATTATACGACTGTAGCCACTCGAAAACTGACACCGCGTTGCGGTTTCTGCACATTCGGTACGGGGGCCAGGATGCGGCAGGCCACCGAGGGGAAGTTTCAGCACATCTTCGAGCACGGCGGGAACCAGTGCCCAAAACAACAGGGAAAGGAGGAGGATGCTTTGGGATGGAGCTCGGATTTGGATGAGGAGCATCTTGAAGATGCTCCTCCTCCAAGAGGAGCATCTTGAAGGAGCATCTTGCAGGAGCACAAGAGAGGAGCATCTTGAAGGAGCTCTACTTGGAGGAGGAGCAGCTGGAAGGAGCACAAGAGAGGCCCACGCCCCCTTCGCCCTGGTGCGGGTCAGCGTTGCCCGTGGGGCCAGCTCCCGCGGGCCCGCACGGAGCGGGCCGCCGCTCATCATCACGTCCGGCGCCCTTCTCGTCCCTGGTGCCCCCGTGCTTGTCAGGCGCTCTCGCTTCTTCGCCATCCTCACCTCCTTCGTCCATCTCTCTCTCTCTCTCTCCCTCTATCCCCATCTCTCTCTCTGTCTCTCTCTCCCTCTCTTGCCACTCTTGGGGACTTGCTGCCTGTTGCTCTTGGTGCTGATGCTGTTGGCGCGGAGTGCTGGGTGGCGGCAGGCAGGTGTCTCTCTCCTTCCTCGGTCTTCCCGTGGCCCACCGTCCTTGGCACCATCGTGCCTTCTCGCTCTTCCATCTGTGCATGCCCGCGCCCCCTTGTGTGTACCGCGATGCCGCTGCTCCATCACGGGCGGCCGCACGGGCTCGAGTAGCGTGACTCTTTCGCTGCAGAGCAGTCGCTTCCGCTGCCTTGCACCACCTTCTGGTCGGAGGGCCAGGCTGTGGTAGGTAGGCAGACTGAGGGGTGGAGGATGGTGTGCTTCCTGTCCGCCATTCCACCTCTTCCATCCCGGACTCGCCGACGCCGCTAGGCGGGGTGCGCTACCCTTCTCTCCCTGAACGCTTCGCGTGCAGGCTACCTGACGCTTCAGGCGACGCGCGCCTCGCAGCATACTTAAGAGAAGGAGCAGGATGAGGGGGACGGGGAGGGGGACGAGGAGGAAGGAAGGAGGAAGAGGAGAAGGAAAGAAGAGGAGGAGAAAGAGGAGGAGGTGGATGAGAAGGAGGAGGAGGAGGAGGAGGAGGAGGAGGAGAAGAACACAACAACCCCCAGGCGGGCCGCCCCCCGACCAAAGGCTGTCTCAAAGCCGGTCCCCGGGCCCCTCCCTGGGCCCCCACCTGCGGAAGACTGCCCGGATAGAATTTCTGACGATCCGGAATCCGAACAGGCCCCGGCGACGACGACCACGACGACGCCGCCCCAGCCGACGCCGAGGCCGACGCCGACGCCGACACCGACGCCAACGCCGATGCATACATCGGCGTCAGCGTTGTCGTCTTCGTAGTGTCGTCTTTGTCGTCTTTGTCGTCGTCGTGAGCGTCGCCAGCGTCGTCGTCGTCGTCGTGGTCGTCGCCGTCGTCTGTGTCGGCGTCGACGGGGTCGTCGTCGTCGTCGTCGTCGTCGTCGTCGTCGTCGTCGTCGTCGTCGTCGTCGTCGTCGTCGTCGGCGGGGGCGCCGGAGACGTCGTCGTCGTCGTCGGCGGCGTCGGCGTCGGTATCGGCGTCAGCGTCGTTATCGTCGTCGTCGTCGTCGTCGTCGTCGTCGTCGTCGTCGTCGTCGTCGTTATCGTCGTCGTCGTCGTCGTCGTCGGCGGCGGCGGCGGCGGCGGCGGTGTCGTCGCCGTCGTCGTCGGAGTCGGCCCGGGCCACCGCGGGCGCAGCTGGGCCATCGTCTCCCCCGCGCGCCACCCGCCCAGGCCACGCAGCTGCGGCGGCGCGCCCAGCAGCTCCGCGGGGCAACCCCAAGCTCGGGTTCCTCCTCCTCCTCCTCCTCCTCCTCCTCCTCCACCTCCTCCTCCTCCTCCTCCTCCTCCTCCTCCTCCTCCTCCTCCTCCTCCTCCTCCTCCTCCCCCTCCTCCTCCTCCCCGCCTGGCTGTTCCCAAACAAATCTCTATTGTGTTGCGCCCTCGTCCTCACGGAAGCACTGCTGGTCGCCACCCCTCTTCTCCTCCCGCCTCCTCCATGTCCATCTCTTCTCCTGGTTCCTGTCCCCTGCCTGCCTTGGACCTCGTGGCCTCCAAAGAGGGCTGCCAACCGCGCAACTGGGGCAATGTTCGTGAGCTCCTGGGACGTCCAACGCAGCAGCGCGACACGCGCATCCAGACGGAACCTCGCCGCTTCCCTCTGGGGCTGCCCGGCTGCGCAACTGTGGCCACTGTCGTGAATTCCTGGAAGGTCCAGCCGGGCGACGCGACATGCGCATCCAGACGAGACCTCGTGCTCCCTGGCGGGCTGCCAACCCAACTTCGCAATTGCCGCCACTTTCGTGAGCTCCTAGGAGGCCCAAGAGAGCGACACGGCACCCGCATCCCTGGGGGTCTGCCAACGGCACAACTGTCGCCACTTTCGTGAGCTCCTGAAGGTCCAGCGGGACGTGGCCATAAAGGGCTGCGCAACTGTAGCCACTTTCCTGGCTTACTAACAGATCCGGCGGAGTGAGGCATTCCAAGACGCTGTTTGGAAGCAAGGCGGCCTTCTACTATCCAGATCCTCTTCCTCCTCCTCCTCCTCCTCCTCCTCCTCCTGCTCCTCCTGGGTCCTGCTCCTCCTCCTCGGTCCGCCGCCTCGGTCCTCCTGGATCCGCCTCCTCCTGGAGCCTCCTCCTCTCCTCCTCCTCCTCCTCCTCCTCCTCCTCCTCCTCCTCCTCCTCCTGGATGCTTCTGCTCCTCGATCCACCGCCTCGATCCTCCTGGATCCGTTTCCTCTCCTCCTCCTCCTCCTCCTCCTCCTTCTCCTCTCCTCCTCCTCCTGCTGTTTCCTCCTCCTCCTCCTCCTCCTCCTCCTCCTCCTCCTCCTCCTCCTCCTCTCCCCCTCCTGCTCCCTCCTGCTCCTCCTGCTCCTCCTGCTCCTCCTGCTCCTCCTGCTCCTCCTGCTCCTCCTGCTCCTCCTGCTCCTCCTGCCTCCTGCTCCTCCTGCTCCTCCTGCTCCTGCTCCTCCTCCTCCTCCTCCTCCTCCTCCTCCCTCCTCCTCCTCCCCGCGCTTGGATAGCAGGGGCCCCGTCATCGACTCGGGGATGGCCGGGGCACACCCCACTGGCGGAACCAGTGGGGCGGTCGGCGCCGCCTGGATCGGCGGGGTATAGGTAGAGCCGGGACCAGGCCGCAGGACTGGCGGAGGCGGGAGGGGTCGCGCCTCCCCCGGGGGACGGGGGTAGGCTGCTGTGGGGCTGTGCCCCTCCCCTCCTCCTCTCTCCCTTCTCCTCGTCGCCCCCCCCTCCCGTCCCCTCTCCTCCCCCCGGGGCTCACAGCTCCCACGGCGGTTCACCCCCCCGCCGAGGCGAGGCCGGGGGACCTGCGGCGGCGCGCGGAGCGCACCGCCGCCGTTAGTCACGCGGTGGTCGATGTTTCGGCAGCGTGCGTTTCAGGAGTATCTGCCCTGTCGCCCAGGACAAGCCTGGGGGTAGGCGGCAGGCTCGTTTTCGCCGCCGTTGTGCGTGTTTCGCATCTTCGGAGGTCAGGCCAGCAGAATCCAGCAGAATCCTTCTCCTCCTCCTCCTCCTCCTCCTCCTCCTCCTCCTCCTCCTTCTCCTCCTCCTCCTCCTTTCCCTCCTCCCCATCCTACTCATCGTCCTCCTCCCCTTCTCCTCCTAGTCCTCCTCCTCGTCCTCCGCCTCCTCATCCTGGAACCTCCTCCTGGATCCTCCTCCTCCTCCTCCTCCTCCTCCTCCTCCTCGGTCCGCCGCCTCGGTCCTCCTGGATCCGCCTCCTCCTGGAGCACCCTCCTCTCCTCCTCCTCCTTCTTCTCTTGGATCCTCCTGCTCCTCCTGCTCCTCCTGCTTCTCCTGCTCCTCCTGCTCCTCCTGCTCCTCCTCCTCCTAACGCCAAGCTCGAAGAAACATGCCGCGTCCGGGCAACGCCAAGTCGAAGCTCGATCCTCCAAGGGTTGGCGGGGGAAGGTCGACCAGAGACCGGGGCTGCCCGCTCCAGAAGAGCAAACGAGCACGCGCAACAAGACGTAAGCTCGTGGATGTCCGCGCGGACTTCTTGGGGGTCGGTGCTACGGCAGAGGGGAGCAATTAGTGGACACTCCCCCAGATCCCCCCAGGTGTGAAGATGGCGCGCGCGGGGGCGGCCGCGGTCGAAGTGCAGCTCATTCAACCCACCGCCAACATTAATCAGTGGGGGGCGGTCGTTGACAGATGAATGCGGCACGAGCGCTCGCTGATTCATCCCGAGGCCTGCAGGTCCCCCCCCCTGGCAGCGCCTCTGGCGCAGCCCCTGGCGCGCTTCTCGCGCCAGGGGGGGCGTTCCAGCCTCGGCCTCAAGAGATCCGCGCTCCGAGAGCTTACGGTCGGGAACTTTTGCCGAGCGTGGCGTGGCGGCGGCCCTGCAACGCGCCATGCCCTGCACGCGGATGTCGTGTCGCTCCGCGGGGCGAGAGGCTGGGAAAGGCTCGGGACGCTGATGCTCGGAGACTGGAACACGCCCAAGTAACGTGTCCCGCCGAAGCGTGGTGAGCCAGGACGGGCGAAGCGACGGTGCTCGGCAAAACATGCGGAGCGTATGCTCATGCAGCTGCTTTGTGGAAGCGAGGCGGGTCCAGCGGTGGCGACGAGGGCACCCAAAACTGGGGAAACCGAGGGAAACGCAGCGGCATGGGCACCTCTCCCTCCTCCGAGGTTTGCTTTTCTGCGCTCGAGGCCGCAGGCGTCAGCCACCCAGCGGGGCAGGCGGTCCGCCAGCGCCTCCGACATGTGCCCCGCCACGTCGCTCGGACTCAGCGTGTCCCGCGGCCAGCCGCGCTCCACCGGCAGGGAGAGGCCCGCGCCCGGGAGCTGCCCGGCCCACATCGGCTCGGAGGCCCTGGGCTTAGGTCGGGCATGTCCTTCCACAGGCGGATCTTGACAGAAAAACAAACATAGAACACAAATGTTCGTTGTATGATGCTCCCGAGGTGCCCCAAAAACTGCCCCCCAGAGACCTCCGAGAGCGCAACGAAGAGACCCTGAACATAATCCCTGAGGACTCTGATCCACGTCAGCGGCATCGTCGTCGTCGTCCCCCGTCAGGGTCGGCGGCACTGGCCGTAAGGCCTTCGCAATAGTACAACATATTTCTTGTATGAGAATGATGAGCACGAAAAGTCGTCACCCGACATGTTGTTGACTCTTCTTGGACATTCTTCCTGTAGAAAGGGACATACCCGACTCAACCCTGGGGTCTTGGGGTAGGACCCCTTGGGGTAGGACCCCGCTGGCCTCCAGCGCCTTGGGGTAGGACCCCGCTGGCCCGTGGCGGCAGGCCCCCCAGGTCTGGAGGCGTGCCCTCGGGCGAGGGGAGGGGGGGCCGGAGCTGCGGGGCGCGGCCTCCGAAGGCCTCCGCAGAGAGAGCCCCCGGAGACCCCCGTGGCCCTCCGCGGGCCTGCAGGAGGGGCTTCGGCAGCGGCTGGACGCGGATGCCTTCACGCCCTCAGGGGGTGCGGCGAGCGAGGAGGAGAAGGCCTCCTCAGCACTAGAGAAGGGGAAGGCCTTCTCAGAAGGCGGCGGGACTTCTCCTAAGGCCACGTGACTGCTGAGAAGTGCTCCGCGTCTTCGGGGAAGGCTTCAGAAGCTGCTCGGAAGGCCGGGGGGACCTCCAAGCCTTCTGAGAAGGCCCGCCCCTTCCCGCTGGACGCGGACACCTTCACGCCCTCAGGGGGGCGGGAAGCTATCCACAGCCAAGGCTGCCCGAGATCATCGTGCAGCTCGGGGGAATCCCCGCACCCTCGAGAGCAGCGCAGTTGCCACGTCATGCAGAGCGTGACTGAATGCGGTGCCCAGACGTGCTCTAGGGAGGCGTGCCGGCACGCACGTGATTGCGGCGACTTCCGTAGCCGCCGAGGCCCGAATCTAGGAGTCGTTCGACACGTCCTACAGCCAGTCGGGGACAACGTGCGCAACCACAGCTTGAGAGCTCCCTGGTCGCATCGTGCCGTCCTGCGCTACCTCGGGCTCTTCATCGGTGTTTGCGGACAGATCCCGGGCGTGGAGGAAGGACGACGAGACGGAGATGTCGGCAACAGGCCGCGCCCCGTCCGCGCCCGCAGATGCAGCCAGCGCCAGGAGCAAGGGGACCCTGCAGCGCAGACCTCCTCCTCCTCCTCCTCCTCCTCCTGCCTCCACAGTGCCAGCTCCTCCGGTCACATCACACTGCATCCTCCTTCTCCTCATGGCTCCTTCTCGCTCTTGTCGCTGCTCCTCCTCCTCCTCCTCCTCCTCCTCCTCCTCCTCCTTCCTCAGTCTCCTCCTCAATCTCCTCCTCCTCATCCTCCTGCACTTTCTGGCGAATTGTTATACCGGAGCGAGGGGGCAACCCAAACGGGGAGGGCAGGGCGGGGGGAGGTGCAATAGTTCGCGGGAGCCAACTATTGCATCTCAACTCTTGCACGGGGGCGCGAACTATTGCCTTGGGCGGAAACGATTTCATTTGAAAGAACGCACGGTTGTCACCTAAGCGCAACGATTGCGCCCAGACCGCTAACTACTGCATAAGTGCGTCAACAGAAGTGGGTATCATTGCAATTCCCCAAGCCCCCCATCAATGCTTCCCTCACTACTCCTGCTTAGAGAACAACCTCCTCCTCATTCTCCTCCTCCTCCTCCTCCTCCTCCTCCTCCTCCTCCTCCTACCTCCTCCTCTTCGTTCCGTTTTCTCCTCCTCATTCCAATCCCTGCTACAAACTCATCCGCCTTCTCCTCCCTGCTGCTGTTCCCCGTGCAACTCAAGGCGTTGCACAGGCCCCTCTCCCCCGACGACTCGCACTCCTCGAGTCGCCGAGTGCCCGAGCCCTCGGCCCCCCTCGGGACCGCTGCTCCTTCCCCAGGCGCTATCTGACAGTCCTGGGGCCCGGAGAGGGCCCTCCGACGCCACCCGCGGCCGGAAGCCTCCGGCCCGATGTGCTCGAGCTGTCAGAGGTCTCGGCAGCGAGGCAGCCAGTGGCTCGTCCCTGGGCCAGCGAGAGGGCCTCGGGGCGAGAACAAAGACACCTCCAGGGGGGACATCTGCTGGCGCCCTCCTCGTCCTCGTCCTCGTCATCGTCGCGCGACTCGGAGGACGAGGAGGAGGAGAAAGAGGAGGAGGAGGAGGAGGAGAAGGAGGAGGAAGAGGAGGAGAAAGAGTGTGAGGAGAAAGCGTCCCAAACACGTGGCTCCTCGATCCCCCCCATCCTCTTCGTTTCCTCCTCCTCCTCGTCCTCGTCGCCGTCCTCGTCGACTTCGTCCTCGTCGTCGTCGGTCGGTCGGTCGTAGCCCTCCCTGGTCGTGGCGCTGGCTGGCGCTCGAGGATCGGCAGCGAAGCACCCCCGTACCCAGCCCGCCCAGGCCAGGCCCCAGCGTCGGCACGCGGGCTCCTCCAGGTGCCTCGGAGGGGGCCCTCCAGAGCGAGGAGGTGCTGGAGGGGAGCGCGCTGGGGGGGAGGGGGGAATCGCGCCAGACAAACTGTGCACCATCCGCCCTGTCCTCCTCCTCCTCCCCCCCCTCCCCTCCTCCTCCTCCTCCTCCTCCTCCTCCTCCTCCTGCTCCTCCTCCTCCTCCTCCTCCTCCTCCTCCTCCTGCTCCTCCTCCTCCTCCTCCTCCTCCTCCTCCTCCTCCTTCCCCCTCCTGCTTCTCCTCCTTTTCTTCCTCCTCCTCCTCCTCATCATCATCATCCTCCTCCTCCTCCTCCTCCTCTTCCTCCTCCTGCCGCTGAGGAGAAGCAGCTGGCTGCATGCTTGGTGGACACGTGCCGCGGCCTCGAGGACAACGATCTCAAGGTATCTCCCAAGCCAGTGGTGGTTCGGCAGCCAGCAGTTCAAGGTTTTCGCATCTAGGTGGCCAGCCAGGCGGCCTACCTGGGCGGTGACCTTTCTGGCGGGCGGCGGCTTGGCAGGGCCACACGGCGCATGAGGGCGGAGAAGCACAAGATCATGTACAAGTGGATCGTTGGGTACGCTCGTGCGTTAAGGAGGTACCGCCTTCCTGCGCGGCCGGAGTTGCAGGGCAATCAACCAACAGAGTTGTACGACCACCATTTGCAAGGAGTATGGGGGAGCCAGATGCAGCAAGTCAGAAGGAAGCTGGCCAACGCAGTCGGGCCTCGTCTCACAGGAAGGTGCATCACAACATTGTTGAATCTCAAAGCGCCAGGTCGGGATCCTCAGTATCGGCTGCCCATGGACACGCTTCGGATGCGGCTGGCGACCTGGACCTCAGGCTCGAGCTGCACGCCAGCATCAATCTGGCATGGCCCAAGTTGGCGCAGGAGCTTAGCGCTCTGCCCAAGGTGGCCAGGTGCAGGCGTATCCGTGGGCCGCAGGGTGCAATCATTTCTTACCGCCTAGCTGCAGGATGGAAGCCCACAACCCCTTCATCGTGGGAGGTACCAGACAGGACATCAGACTGGCAATTCAACATGCCTTCCCTTACGGGGCATCAGCGCCTTGACATCCCTGAGGTGTTCGTCTCCGCGCTCCGTGCGCCCATCGAAGCACAGATGTGGCAGCGGGCAGCAGTGCATTTTGGAGGTTCAGGCATGTCTGGTGGAATGTGTCAGTTGTCGTATGGGGAGTTGTTGCAATAACTCGAGCAAGCTCCTGGAGGGCAACGGTTGTCTGGGCTGCTACTTGCATCTGCGGAAAGCTGGCCACGCCCACGCCGCCAAACACGTTGCCGTCAATATCTTTCTGTGTTGTGCACGCGCTGCAGATCTGAAACTGAAACCAATGTTCACAGAGTTTGGAGTTGCAGTAGCCGTTCTGACCACACTATCTGTAAACCAAGCGAGGGGTTAGTGGCCAAGGCTTTTACCCAGGCTGAAGCTGATGAATGTTTCTGGGCCAGGGGCGTGCTGCTTAAGAAGTGGCTTGCAGTTGATCCCCCTCCAGGCTCCGAGTCTTCGGTGACCTCCAACGGGCTCGACTGTGGCTCCTTAGGGTTTGGTGAGTCTCGAAATCGCCGTCTTTATCTTCGGGGACGCGAGTGGGTGTAAAGACACCCACCACCCCCTCCTGCGCAGAGTAGGCTTAGGGTTAGAAGCGTTCTTCAGGATCCCAATGATGACCTGAATATTTCTGTAGGCGCGTGAAGCCCCCCTTTCAGGTCCCAAGCACACGGTTGCCCGAGAGGAGCTCCAATGTCTAGTTCAATGCCTCCAGCGTGCTGCAAAATGTTGTGTACGTCACGGAAAGTGGTACCGTGAACGCAGGATGGCACCAGCGCAGGTGGCTCACTCCCTCTGCTTCCGACGCCGACCTTTGGTGGAAGCCCCGGCTCACGCTTGAGCAAAGAAGGGACGACATTGCATGTACTGATATTTTCGTTCACTCGCATCCCGAGGGTGAACAAGTTGCTAGAGGCGTTGCACCACGTCTCCTGGCACTCAGTAACAGACTCGCACATGTGTTTGCAACAGCGGGAGCGGAAGATGCCCGCTTGGCTGAGTCCGTGTGCGCACGCGTACACGCAATCGAATCGCAAGCTGTCGCAGTCCGCATGAGAATCCTCCAGAGCACCCTCGAGGCCGTCCAGGCTGAGGAACGTCTCGAAGCTGAGGAGGGTGGTAGGCGTAGGCGTAAGCAAACCGCGAGCTGTGTAGTTAGGCCCCCAGCGGTCAGCGTGTGTGCGTCTTTTTTCAGCATCACTCTGCCTCAAGGATAATGTCAGGAGCTGTTCCAGGTCTCAGGGGCCCGCGTCCCATGCGCGCAGACGCGAGTGGATATCATGTCCTTGTTTATGCTTACTTGATATGGACGGGTTCTTCGTAGGCCTCCTCCATGGCGGCGGGTGCATATCTCAGGTGGGTTCGCTCACGAACCTCCTGCGTCGAGGTTTCACTCGGGGTTGGAGCTTTGGTTTTGCACACTCTATGGGTGTTTCGCTTCTCAGCAGTTGAAGCAACTCGGTAGTGTGTCTGTGTGTGTGTTGAGCCTGTCGCAGGACATCTCAAGGATTACGTACATTGACCGCCTCTCCCGAGGCTTGTGGCCAAAGGCTTACAGCAAAGCCGAGCTGGCCAACAGGAAGCAGCAAGGCAGATAACTGCTTCATTCGATCACCGACATTGTCGCCACACCCGTAACTCCCTGTCTTCCTCCTCCTCTTCCTCCTGCCCCTCCTCCTCCTCCTTCTCCTCCTCCTCCTTCTCCTCCTCCTTCTCCTCCTCCTTCTCCTCCTCCTCCTCCTCCTCTTCCTCCTCCTCCTCCTTCTCCTCCTCCTCCTCCTCCTCCTCCTCCCCGCCCTTCTCCTCCTCTTCCGCGAACGTGCGCCTAAAAATTGAATCCGCAACCGTGCCACTGGCACGAAGTGGAGTGCCCCAAGGCTTATGCAGCACTGAAAGGTAGAGGCTCTGCTGCTGTCGTAGCCGGACTTGTAAGTCTGTCTGGGTCCAGACCAAACGTTTCCCAGGCCGTCTGGGGTCGTCTTGTGCCGTCTCGGGCCGTCCTGGGGCGGCCTCCGTAAATTCGGGGATGTTCCTTGCGGGTCCTATGGACGCCGTGCCCGCCCAAAACGTTCCAAGAGAGCCCCGACTCGCCGAAACATCACTGAAAGACGAGGCCAATGGCCTCCAGACGGCCTAAGACGCCTCCAGGACGTCCCAACAGGCCTCCAAGAGCACCCCCACGAAGGCCACAAAAGGCAAAACACAATGCTTTCAAACATGTTGGCTTTTCTGCCTTTCGGGTTGCCGAGGCTCCCAACAAAGACTGTTCCAAGATGGCCCTAGAGGCCTCCAGAAGGGTGTACAGACGGCACAATGTGTCCCCAAGGCAATCCAGGAGGCCTCCAAAATGGCTCGACAAGGCCCAACGAACGCCCCGGGAGGGGTCCCAGAGGGAGAGTACGAACCCTCTCCGCTCTAGAAGCTTCATGACGACCTCAAACTGCCCTCAATAGCACGCCCACGACAGCCGCTGAGGGACCACCCCCCCAAATCCACAACGAGTCTGGCTCACGACAGAGGAAGGAAGGCGCGATTCGACCCCGCGAACGCTCCACGAGAAGGTCCTCCAAGGCTCAAAACTCTCCCCACGGAGGTCCTTGAGAGTTCTCCGCGGACAACTGAAGACCATGCCTGGCGACTCTGACACACAATCCAGGCACAACGCCTTCTGTACCCCTTCGCCTCCTCGTCCTCCTCCTCCTCCTCCTCCTCCTCCTCCTTCCTCATCATCGTCCTCCTCCTCCTCCGTCTCCTCCTCCCCCTCCTCCTCCTCCTCCTCCTCCTCCTCCTCATCCTCCTCTCGCTTTTCCATAGCGTCCTCACCCTTGCCTCCCATATCAGCGGCCCTCTCTTTCCACGACCGTCGTCGTCATCCCGAGAGAGGGGGAGCACGAGCCGAACATCCGAGTCTTCTGTCCTTCGAAATCCCCAAGAGGCCACAAGGAGGCTCCAAGGCCCTCAGGAGGCCCCAATAGATTCCTAAGATGCCCCCAAGACGCCCCAAGAGGCCCCCCAACGGCCCCCAAGAGGCCCCTGAGAGGCCTCCCGCGACATACAAAATGAAATACCCTGGAGGCTCATGGCTCACAACCCTGGCACGGTGGCGGGATAAGCTGAAGGCCATTCGATATCCGCCGCCCCCTGTTAATTTATCACCGGATGCCCGGCGCGCTGGTCTTCTTACGATTTGGTTTTTTGGTTCAAAATAAATCCTCCTGGGGCTTCGGCTCGTCCCGCCGGCCACCCGAAAGGACCACAAAACCGAAACAAATCCTTCAAGACGGCCCAAGATGGCCTCCAAAACGGCCAAGATAGCCTTCAAGTTCGCCCAAGATGGTCCAAGATGGCCTCCAAGACGGCCCAAGAGGGTCCAAGATGCCGCCAAGTCCGCCCAAGAAGCCGCCAAGACGATCGAAGGGGGCCCAAGAGGCCTCCCAGACTGCCCGAGAGGCGTCCAAGACGTCCACCAGGGCCCGAAGAGGCCAAAAGCATTCGTTTTCCCTGGATGTTCAAGGATTTTGGCATGTGTTTTTATGGCCTTCCGGCAGCCCAAGACAATCCAAGAGCCCCGAAAGATCGCCCAAGAGGCCTCCAGGATGGCCCCAGAACGGCCCAAGAGGCTCCCAAGACGGCCCCAAGAAGGCCCCCATACGGCCCAGGAGGCTTCCAAGACGCCCCAAATGGCTTCCAAGACGGCTCTGGAGCACCCCAAGAGCGTTTCAAGTCGGCCCAAAGAGGCCCCCAAGACGGCGTCCGACGGCGTCAGACGGGCCAGGAATGCCCTGAGACGGCCAAAGAGGCCCCCGAGAAGCTCCCAAAGGCCCCCAAGAGGCCCAAGGAGGCCCCCAAGATGCCTCCAAGAGGCTCCCAGGAAGCTCCCAGGAGGCCCGAGAGCCCCCAGTCACCCAAGATGCCCCCTCCTCCTCCTCCTCCTCCTCCTCCTCCTCCTCCTCCTCCTCCTGATTTTCCCAGCCATCCTCCCCAAAGTGTTCCCTGAAGGGTTTCCACAACGGTTGGGGGAACACATGGTCCGATAGCTTGGCAGAGCTCTTGCCACAACGCTCGGCCACATGGGCGATTTCAAAAGGCAGGGGGGCAGCGGTGATTGGCCGTAGGCGTCTTCGATATACACTTCTCGATCTGTGCGTGTCGTCCTTGCGCAGGGGCCATTCAAATCTTCTCTGTTTCGTCCCTATGTTCACCGATGATCCCCGAAGGGAATCCTCCTCATCCCCCTCCTCCTCCTCCTCCTCCTCCTCCTCCTCCTCCTCCTCCTCCTCCTCCTCCTCCTCCTCCTCCCCCTCCTACTCCCCCTGCTCCTCCTCCTCCTCCTCCTCCTCCTCCTCCTCCTTCTCCTCCTCCTCCTCATTCGCCTCCTCCTCCTCCTCCTCCTCCTCCTCCTCGAGCTTCTCCCTCCCCCTCCCCTTCCCATTCTCCCTGGGGCCCAGAAAGGGGGGGAGGGGGGGCCCTGCCAGGCCACGTGCCGGTGCCCGGCCGCCGACCCTCGGGATAACTGCACGGAGACCTGGAGGCCGAGGTCCACCTGGGCGACCGGAGGCTTGGCGAACTCGAAGTCGAAGTCGTCGTCCTCGGGGAGGAGGAGGAGGAGGAGGAGGAGGAGGAGGAGGAGGAGGAGGAGGAGAAGAAGGAGGAGGAGGAGGAGGAGAGAGGGAGGAGGAGGAGGAGGAGGAGGAGGAGGAGGAGGAGGAGGAGGAGGTGGAGGAGGAGGAGGAGGAGGAGGAGGAGCAGCAGGGGACCGAGCCCAAGAGCCCGGAAAGATCGCCCAAGCGGCCTCCTGGATGGCCCCAGAACGGCCCAGGAGGCTCCCAAGACTGCCCCAAGAAGGTCCCCTATACGGCCCAAGAGGCTTCCAAGACGCCCCAAATGGCTTCCAAGACGGCCCTCGGGAGGGGCGCGGGCAGGGAATCGACGACAGAATGCACGCTGACCCCCAAAAAATGCTTTTCTTCTCGAAGTCGAGCTCGTCGTCCTCGGGGAGGGACTCGGGCAGAGGATCGACGACAGAATTCGCTCGCCCCAAAAATTGGGTTTCTTCTCGAAGTCGAACTCGTCGTCTTCGGGAGAAACTCGGGCAGGGGACCGACGACGGAATCCGCTCACCCCCAAAAACTGCTTTTCTTCTCGAAGTCGAACTCGTCGTCCTCGGGAGGGGCTCGGGTAGGAGATCGACGACAGAATCCGCTCGCCCCAAAAGTTGCTTTTCTTCTCGAAGCCGAACTCGTCGTCCTTGGGGAGGGACTCGGGCAGGGGATCGACGACAGAATGCACTCACCCCAAAAATTGCCTATCTTCTCGAACCCACGAAAAGCACCTATACTGTTCGTATACTTGTCGTAGAGTATAAGCACTGTTTCGCAGACTCGACGAACAAATCAGTTATGGGGTGGATGAATTCTGCAGTCGATCCCCTACTCGAAGGACGAGGAGGAGGAGGAGGAGAAGACAGGGGTCGCCTTCGGCTACGTTGGGCCTCCAGGAGCCTCCGGACACGTCCAGGGGGGTGGGGGGGCGACGAGGAGGGACGAGAAGGAGGGAGGAGCAGGACGAGGAGGAGGGGGGGCGAGGAAGAGGTTGACCAGGAGGGATGAAGGGGGAGGAAAGGGGGGAGAGGGAGGAAGGAGGAGCAACCCCTCTGAAGCCTCATCGTGGACTCCCACTCCACCTGCGGCTCCTGCTTGCCAGCGCCTGCCACATACGTTTCCTCCTCGTGCTCCCCCTCCGCGCCCTCACCGCAACCCGGGGGCGAGCCCGCGGTCCACGGCAACACTGCTCGGCTCCAAGACGCCATCCGCTAAGTGTTGAGAGGGGGCGCCTGCTCTCCAGGGCGTGGAGGCGGACGGGGCGAAGGCGGAGGGACGAGAACCACTAGATTCGGCGGTGGACAAACCTCCCCTTAGTAAACCACCCTTTAGTGAAAACGGCCTGGGACCGAAACCGACGGACCTGGACCCGCAAAAATGACGGCCGCGACGCCCTCTCGCGAGCCGAAAACGGCCAATTCGCTAATCGACGTGTCAGGGTAGGAGGTCTGTCCACCCCCGATAGATTTGGGTGCCTGCCAGGCGGGGGGTGTGCGGCCGCCGGAGGTGCGGTCTGTGGCCAGCACATGCCCCGTGTCGTGCTGCTCCAACTTTCGGCGGCAACTCACGGGAGCCTCCCATAGCATCCTGCCGGCTCTTGCGAAGCCGACGCTAAATCAACGTACGTCGACGCCAAATCGACGCTCATGGACGCTAAAGCGGTGCTACCTCATCGACTCCTAGACGCTGATCGACGCTCACTGACGCGAAAGACAAAATTGCGAGGGTACACAAGGCTCCCATGACTTGCTACCGAACTAGCTTCTGGGGCGGCGGCGGCATGAGCAACGTTTTCCACGGCCGACGGCACTGCAGCCGCACCTGTCGCCTTGCCTGCCGCGCAGGAGTGCGCCGCCGCGCTGCGACGGGGCGGCGATGCGCTCAGGCGCCAGGGCGCCGGCACATGTGGCGGGTTTAAAAAACACCCTGACTCAAAAAACTTGCCATCTGTTAGGAGGCCGATGTTTACTTCCGCCAGCTTCCGCTTGCCTTCTGCCAGCGGATCCGCCCGCGTTTTCCTGCCGCCGCCTTCCGCCAGCCTTCCGCCGAGGAAGACACGGCAGTTCCTTCGGCCCTCCTCGAAGGCGAGGCCCTCACTGGGACGCCTCATGCGACACGGCCCAGAAGCTCCAGAGACGAAGTGTGGGTCCCTCGCGCGCAGGACCGATGCCCTGTGGGGGTCCCGTTGCCCACGTCATGAAGCCGAGAGGGTCCTTGGGGCCTCGAAGTCGCCCGCGGCCTACACGGCGGCTTTCGGAAACCCTGAAGCCAAAAACGGCTTCTTCACTTGGGTGGCGACTTTTGCACTTCCGCCACCTTCCGCCGCCCTTCCGCCGACTTCCGCCGGCGGAGGCCGCCTCGTTTCACTTCCGCCGACCTTCCGCCGCCTTCCGCGGCGGAAGGGATGACAGCTCCTCCGATCCTCGAAAGCAAGGTCATGTTGACAGGGATGATGGGTATCGGGGGCCTCGAGGCAAGGCTCGGAGGGCCTCGGGATCGTCGTCGCATGTCTCGAGGAGCCCCGGGACCGCCGTCGACAGAAGCAGAGCGGAAACTCCTGGGCCGCACGGACGCCGACGGCCAGTGCTCCACGCCGGGCCAGCGTCGCCAGAGCGGAACGGACCAGAGAGCCCGTGCTCGGCGCCGAGCAGAGGCGGGCAGTAGCGACGGCCGCGGTGCAAAGCCTGGGGTCTGGCCGGGAACCCGTGCGTGCGCGGATCGAGGCCGAATGCCCTGGCCCCGCGCGCAACCCGCAGACTCGCCCGCCCGTCGATAAAAAAAAACAAGCGCAACCAGACTTGCGGACAAAGAAATGCTTCGGCGCTGGTGGCGAGGAGCCGTGGAGATTTCAAGGCGACGCTGACGCCCGAGATGATGTAGAAGAGGCTGGCCTGTGCCAGGCAAGTCAGCCACTGGGGTCGTGCGACACGCCGTTTTCTGAACCGCCTTGCATGGACCAGCATAGGCGAATCCATCCTACCTTGGACCGATGCGAAGGCATCCGCCCAGGCATTCCCAGATAGCTCTGTTAGAGCTAAGAAGGTTGCAGCAGAGTTACTCCGCGCCGCAGAGTAGCCCGGAAGCTCTTTCCGGCGCCGGTGAAGCAGCGTCGCAGAAAGCCGCTTGAAACTGCAGCGTGTCCCGAGAGCGTTTTCCGACTCGTTGCCTATACGCGTGCCGGAAGCCTTGTCGCAGTTCCCTGGATGTTCCTTGGAAGCTCCTGCGAAGCTCCTTTCTCGAGCTTGCAAGCTTTCCAGACATCCTTTCAAACGTCCCTGCAAGCGTCTCCGAAAGGACTGCTCTGCGATCCGGGTTTTGGACGCCACAAGGTGTCACAGAAGGCTTGGGCGGGTGGATCAGCAAGGGCAGCGAGATGCGCTCCGCGACCTTGCGCAGCAGGAGGGATGAACTCAACCAACAAATCTCCTTCGGTCGCCATCAAGTCCTGCTGGGACCATGTGCTCGTGCGCGGGAAGCCACCTGCGGTCACCCTGGTGGCGGTCAGGCGGAGCGCCATTGAGACGCGGACCCTCGGCAACCCAACAGAGCCTGGCACGCCGTCGACCAACCGCGGCCTCCACTTGCAGACCTTCGCCACGGGCACGACCACGTGCAAAGATGCGAGCCGGCCCTGCGAGCCCGCAGCTTCGAGAACCGGAGGGGGGACGCAGCTGAGGGGCAACGACAGGGGAGGACAGGCA